GCCCCGCGCCCCTGTCATGAGCCGCGGCGGCGCTTCCCCCCCCCGCCGCTCCTCAGCTGCTCCTCAGCCGCCACCCGGGGCGCCCCGCGCCCCCGCTGACATTACGGTGCGCCCCCCCCTCCCGCTCCTGTTCCCGTGGCTGTTGAACCCCGCCCCCCAACGGCCGCGTAACTGGCCGCAGCCGCGGGAGTTCCGAGAGCAGGGGGACTGGCAGTTGCTGCCGTTTCAGCGCAGGGGAGGTGATTGACAGGGCTCAACCGGCCAATGGGAGAGCGAGGGGCCCGAGGGCAGGCGGGGCGGGGAACCTGAGCCGAGCCACCCAGTCCCCGGGGGGGTAGGAGGGGCCAGCGATGGGCAGCGGCCTTGCCCAATGGGAAACGAGGGCGGGGCGTCGTAGAAAGAGGCCGCGAAGGATTGGCGGGATAGTGGTGAGGAGGGGCAGGGAGGAGCCAATCCTGAGTGGGGAAACGGCTCGGGGCTGGGACTTGAAGTTTGTTCTGATCAAAGCCCGGGTTGAGCGGGGGCTCCCGCCGCTGGGAGGGGGTGTTGGCAGGTCCTTCTCAACCCGTTTGGGGGGCCAGGGGCAGCTGAGCGTGCTGGGATAAATCGCCTAAGCACTTTTCTTGTTCTTAAAGTAGAATAAAGAGGCCATCAACAGCCTGTAACAATCACGCTCCTTGTTTGAAATATATCACCTTCCTCATTTTAGCCCTGCTCTTATCCTGCCGCTTCTCTTTCTTAACTTAAAGTGCTCGTATCTTTCCTTTGCCATCCGCCACCTCCATGACAGAACTCTAGCCCCTAAGGGCTGTGTCTCTGGGCCTTTTTGACTGTCAAAGCTTCAGTCACTGTCAAAAGATGACTTTGACTTGAAAAGGGCACGAGAGGAACAGCACCCTTCACATGTGTTTCAAAATCGTTCATACACACACACACACACACACACACACAGTGGGAGGGTTACACACATCACGCACGCACAGTCAGAAAATGAGAAACTGGGGAAGCGTTCATTCCCCTGTTCAGTTCTTGGGATTAAAATTAAAACATCTGTTATTCCTTTCATTGCGGGCTGTGAAGGAGCTCCAGCTCAGGTGGCAGAGGTTCCTCCTGCCCCAAGTGAACAACTAAGCCGCATCTCTAACCTTAAGGCATAGGCAGTTTGAGCAGCAAGTTAAGCTAGATATTAGGAAATCTCTCTTAGGTTAGCTATGAGGAAAGTCATGAACGATGTGTGCCACTGGAGGGTGTAGCAGGGCACCAAGGTGCCTGCTACTTGTAGAGCTGGGATAACTACCCAGGTATCAGTTGCTAAAGCAACCCAGAGGGAGCTAGTGACCCACACCTGCCACTGGTCAGCTGACCAGAAAGGGCAGGGCCTGGCTCTCATTTAAACTGCAGGGCTGAGGCCAAGCAGGGAGTTAAGGGAGAAAGAGTTCTCTTAGAATAGGTGGAGGGGAGTGCCTAGACTGTAGGTACAGCCTAAGATTTGGGGAAGGATAGAGCACCCCCAGTGTGGCAGGAATAATGTTGGAGCTGGATGGTTAAGATTTATGTTATGGCTCAGGGGCTTGTGTTTTGTTTGCTGTTGTAACCAGTAGCTTGGGTGAGGCTATAAGGAGATAGGAGGCCTCGTAGGGGGTCCATGACAGCATGGGGACCCGGGCACTAGAGAGGGTGTAGTATTGAGGGTGTGCTGACCCTGAGCCTCTGAGTGCCGGAGAGACCAAAGAAAATCAGTTACGTCAGTGAGGCTTGGGGTGAGCCCATAAGGCTGGGGTACACAGAAACACTTATTACAGAAGTGGGGCCAGTGTACAGGAGGAAAAGTGTCCAGGGAGATGAAGAGACAGCCTCCCTATTGTGTGTGTATATATATATTTGACATCAAAGATGTGGCGGGCGAGAATTGAGGGTGCTTTGTAAGCTAACTGGGCACAGTAAGGGGTGTCAGGGGGAGATCACGGCAACCCCTAGGATGCCCTCCTGTTACAGAGGGGCAAGGCAACTACACACAGGTGGTGGTGGCAGCAAGCAGGGAGCTCCCACAGGTGGCCACAGCAGTGTCAGTGGTGGGGTTGGGGGTGGCAAGCACCGATTGCCTGCAGGCACCGCCAGCAGCCTTGGCAGCAGTTAGTTGCAGGGGGCTCACCACCAATTCTAAGGGGTGCACATACACCTGCATGCACCCCTTATGTGTTGCTAGTGAGGAAAAGTTGAAGGAAGTTTAAGTTAGCTATTAGGAAAGACTCTCACCAGGAGGGTAGTAAAGCACCAGAACAGGTTACCCAGAGAGAGATAGTGGACTCTCCATCCTTAGACGTTTTTTAAGATCTGGCTAGACAAAGCATTAGCAGGGATGAGATAGCTGGGGTTGGTCCTGCTTTGAGCAAGGGGGTGGATTAGATCAGCATTTCTCAACCTATGGGTCACGACCCAGAAGTGGGTTGCAAGAATATATGAAAGGATTGCAAACAAACTTTAAAAATGGATTTGCCTTCTTAAAGGAGAAAAACTTGGGAAACAGTGGTTTTTCCCCTGCAGGCTGACAGAGTTCTAGCCTGTGAGGGGCTGCTGGGGCACCACCTTGTGTGTGGGGTAGGGAGTGTGGAGCTCACACCTTTGTGCCCTGCACACCCATCCCCTAAGGGTCTGGGGGTGGGGGTAGCTGGTCAAGATGAGGGGCACTGTGTCTGGACTGGCCATCAACATTTGCAAATGGGTCCTGGTACAAAAAGGGCTGAGAACCACTGAAGGTGGTAGATGACCTCTGGAGGTCTCTTCCAGCCCTCATGTTCTATGATTCTATGTAATAAAAGGTGAATCTCTGACTTGTGAACGTGTCATTGTGGTACTCACCTGGCCCAGTAGCAGGTGCTTTCCAGTGTTCCTCCGCTCTCTCTTATCATGAGATGACATAGTGGAGCTACTTCTGGAGCTTCGGCCCCTGCTATACATTACCTGTATCATATAGTTCACTGGTCAGTCATGCAATTAAGGTAGACAGCCACACACACAATTATCACACAATTCACTGAGAAAACCCACAATAAATTTAGAATGGCCACACATGCAAAGTAATTATCTTGCCATAAAAATGTCCATCCAGCTCCAAAGAGCCAACCAGAGCTTGAGAAGGTGTAATGACTTGAAAGGTGGCTTCTATTCATCTTTCATTTTAATGTGTAGCAGGGCCCTTTACTATTCTGGATGCCCAACAGGTTTTTAGCCTTACAGCCTCACTGTGCTGTTTGATGATGACCACAGTGACTTTGGCTGCATGTTGTTATTTTATATTAAGGTACCAGTTAAAGGGCCTAGCAGAGAGACCCCCTTTATGCTGTACATGTAGGGCTTGACCCTGTTAAGTTCTCAGTCATATTATCTCAAGCCAGTGCAGCATTTTAAGTGCTTAACTTCTAGGATATGACTGGTGCTACTGACACACTGCTCTGATAGACCAAGGTAAGAGTGCTTAGTGTCTTGCAGGCTTGACTCCACATGAACTGTAGTAAGAAAAAGTCCCCGGTCCCAGAAAGCATAAATAAATAAAATAGGATAAAATGAGAGAAAGTAAAAGTTATTGCCCCCATCTTTACAGATTAACTAAGGCTAAGTGAGTAAATCATTTGCCTGCAGTCAACAAGGAGGGCAGTGACAGAATTGGGAACGGAGCCCGAATCCAGTGTCCTAAGCACAAAAATAGTCTCTCTCAAAAAATATGAAAATTCTAGTAGCATAACTGGGGCGGGGGGGAACTGGGGCAACAGCCCACAGTGTCTGACTTGGGGGTGGGGCATTGCAGCCACGTGGTTGGACCACTTTAGTCTCATGCAGCGCTAATGCTGTTGCCACTACTACACCCAGGATGCAGTGTTGCCCTGTTACACTTCTGGAAAACCCTGCCCCATTCATATAATAAGATTTGAGCCTGGGCCACAAATAACAGGACCCCTAACTGCTAAACAATCTGGAAGGTGTGGAGGGTGAGTGTGTGTGCACAGGATAGGTCCAAATCAGAGTCCTCCTCACAGGCACACACACACAGACTTGCTTGGGGGTACCTTAGTTCATGGTAATACATTATGCACATTCATCTGTTTCTTACTATTTAGGTTCAGGAAAGAACTTAAATATATGCCCAACATTAATTTTATGGTTAGGTCCTAAGGAATTCCATTGAATTTAAAATTAAGCACATATTAAAGCACTTCCATGAGTTTGGGGTTTAATCTTTAATTGTTTTCAAACATGTATCACCTGCATAGGTTACACGGGCTCCCCAAGAATTTAATAGAAAATTATAAAGAGGGTAAATAAGGTGATTGATAGTACTTAAGATGTGCTGGCCAAAGCTGTCAGATTCATAGCTTTAGGATAATCTATAGCCCCGATTTACTGGTATAACTGGTATTGCAAGCTAGGAAGCTGCTTGTACTAAAGCTCTATCAGGAGAGAACAGGACAAGAAATGCAGGGTGAGATCCTTCTGTAATAGTTGCAGTTATTTTCTCCTATTCTGTCTCTACAACTTGTAGTTGCTTGTTTATATAATTTATCTTGCATGTGTAGTAATTTTTTTTGCCATTTAATTTGCCTTATTGATTGCCTGTGGAAAAAGTAATTAAGTTGGTCTCTCTTGTGGAAGAGGGAACTTATAATTTTATACAAACTGAGTGAGAAGGGTATCACCCATAAACTGACAAAATGTGGAAATTGTAAGCCGTGGTACTTGTTCACCTAATGGCGCAAAGGGATCTGTTCCCTGATCCCAACAATCATGCCTTGTGCCATGCCATATGGTTTTGAGATCAGATCACCATCTTGGCATCTTATCATTACTACTTGCTAGTGCAGGAAGGGCCCAGGATTCTGATCCCAGGCTCTCCCTGCACTAACAAGTAGAAAGCCAGGTGGCTGGTGAACTGTTGCACTCCCAGGGGGTGGGACTGA